TAGAGAAAATCGTTAAAAATATGTTAACCCCCCCCCCCAATTCTGAGTGTCTCGCGCCAGCCCTGTCCTCCACAGTCCATGAACCCTTATAATACATGTACTAGCTATGGTGAGAATTTTGAAATGGAAAAGTTTGTTAGAATTCAGCAACATTTTTGTAAAAAAAGTAAGAAGAGACTACTGACGCGGAGTAAATGTTTTTGCTTCCTATTTTAACCTGTTTTTGAGCGGTTTTTAATCCTGCACCGAGAAGTTCTACAAAACACCGGTCCTTAAAAAAGTCGCAGTTCTATTTACTTTTTACATGGTCTTTCTAGCGGTGCCGTCGGAAATCAGTTAGAATATGACAAAAAAGAAAAACATACTATGGTCGTATAGTTTTCCCCAGGAGAAAAGCGATCATTTTTATAAATTATTTTTTTCTAGATTAATACTAATTAAAATATCTTTTCGACAGTATATTTGATAGCGCATACTCGAATACATATATTCATTTCTTCATTCTATTCTAGAAAGTAAAATAGTTGAACCCCCATATGCAATACTAACCTGATCTTATGATTTTTTCCAGTATTGTACATGTATGTACGGAGATCTCGTCAGTTAATAGGAATTAAATATTTTTCAAGTATCTTAGTTTCGCCTTCAGCTCAAAGTTGTAACACTAGTATATCCAATACAACAACATTTAAACTAAAATTAAAAAAAGATTTTCATGCGCACATTAAGGATTCAACGAAAACTGAAAAAACGGATAAATCGAACAACATAATAAAAGGAAATAAAAATAATAATAACGGTAGTGATCTGTAATTCATACAAAACAGATCAAATAGACATACAGTAAACAATAAAACGAACAGCAAATCAAAAAAAGATACGTATGAGAATATCTGCACTCAGTTAATATGCTAATCCTCCAAATGTCGTTTCTACATTTAATTGTGCTTCGGCAAATGCAATCCAGTCTGATGCATATGTTGGTAATAATCCCATTGATTGACATTTATAAAGTGCAAGTGCTAAATGAGTTAAATTTCCTAGAAAATATATTAACTTATGAAACACAACGTTTCCGATCATCCCTTCATTCTCGATTGATTGAAACGCTGATGATATTGAAAATATTGCTTGGATAGGTTTCATGAATAACATTACAACAATCATTATTGACATCAATGAAAATGAATTGCCTAAAATTGTATAGAAAAAAAAGAGTTTTAGAGTTTAGTATGTACAAATATTTGTAAAACATATCTCATATAAATTTTTTAATAAAATTTTAGATTGAGAGACAATCTATACAGATCCATACAATTTACTATTATAATTATGTTCAACGATGAAATTATTTTTTTTTCTACTATTCTGACTCCTTTCTTCTAACGTGATCTTACCAGCCATCCAAGCAAAGATTAAATTCATTGGTAATTGTTTGACTGGTTGAAGTGCTATATCCCACGAACGTTTAGCGAACAAACGTTCATCTTCATCTTGAGTTGGAACATCTGCTATACGTTGATCACTATAGCCAACAGGTAAAGAATAATCAGAGTTATACGACGAAGATGAAGCTGAAACTAAAGAAGAGGATGTCGTAGATGCTAAACGTTCATTTTTTCGCATATGTAAATCGATAAACCATTTTCGACGTGTAAAGGCTGGAGTATGTGATGAACGATAAAATGGCGGCGACGCTAAATTTGTAGACATTATAAAGACTTGCAAATTTCAATTAATACATTATCTAGAACGAAAAATGAACAAATATTATAAACTTTACTAACAGAACTAGAAGGAGAAAAAACATAATTTCTTTTTTGTCTTTAAGAATAATAAGGACATAGATGAGCTATTTTAAATAAGAAAAAAGTAGTGACAGAAGCTGGATATAAAATTCAACAGTGCGTGTATTCTAGGGATTATCTACTATCAACATTATTTGTACAGCGACTATTTGTAAAAAAAAAGACTTTGAAAAGTCGTCAACACCTCAATCTAATTTCTAAAAGAAAGAAAGGTATTATTTACTAATGCAGCTGTTCAATGTCATGCTCAAGAATTCTCTAAATTATATAAGAACAATAGCAATATGCTTGTCTTGCACCGCAAAATGGCAATCATATCTAATGGTATGATATCAGATAGAGAAGATGTGCTTATTTCCTGTACTTTTTCATTTTTTTAGCATTATTCAGCACAATAATGAATGAATATCTTGATAATCGTAGATTGTCCGAAACCTGAAAACAGGAAATAAAATACCATTTTGTTTTTCTTTAAAATCGAAAAAGCTTTTATTAAAAAAAAAATCACTTACGCTAAAAAGCAATGGGTCATTCTCCGGAGAGTGTACCACATTTCAGAGCCCGAAACGAATGAGAAAAATCTGCTTCAATTCAACATTTTCGAACCCTAGATCGATTCGATTCTATCCATTCCGATGCAAATTAAAGCTTGCTTCTCTTTTGGTTGCAAACGTTTGTTTAAAATATATTGTCTCGAGCTAAAATACCTGAGCAGAACGTGTTGTTTGTGTGACTAGAGCTTTCGAACATGCATCATAGCAAAAACCAACAAAAACAAAAAGTAGCCTATTCGTAAAATCAATTTCGATCGGTTTAAAAATCGGTTCGATTCGTTTCTAGCTTGACCACATTTATATCGACTTTCTGCCAATCGTATGGCACTTTCAGGACTGGTAGAACTCATTACGCTGATCACAAAAATCACCTTCAAAACTTCAAAATGCGGGCGAGACTCCCGAAAGATTTTCCACCAAAACTGTTTTTGCTATGACTGTCATTCCAAAAATGAAAAATTCAAACTGCTTTTACAAATGCTACTCAATATGAATATCTTTTGAAGCCAAAACATTTTTTTCCATTGTTTTGGTCTTTTTAGAAACATGGTACAAAAACATGATTTTCCTTCCCATTCAAATATCTCTATAACGACGAAATGAAAATATAACACCAATATATAATTTCGAATTCTCAATCCATTGTCTCACTAATGGTGAAAACAACGGGACTTCAGCTATTCTCTAGAATAAATAGTAGAGCAAACACTGATCACTAGTTTTCAATTTTTACCAACTTCCGCTCCCTTCTCCTGGCCCACTGCAGATTCTACAGACTGTTCCCATACCTAATGTTGATGTATATAATGGGTACTTCAAAATCCTGAAGCATTTGTTTTGGGCTGCTTTATCTCTAAGAAAATTGGTCTCAAAGTTGAGAGAAATTAGCATAATTAGACAAACATAACAACTCAGGTTCTTTCACAGAAAAATCGACTTTTATTCTTGATTTGCAATGTTTAATGTGTTATGGTTATAACACAGCTGATTACCTGTTCTCAGTTTCTTTTATTATAATGCATGATCAATGATACTTCATCACAAGAAAATTACAATTCATCGACAAAAATGACTAACGATTCTGCAGTATCTGATTAAACGAGACTATAATTACTAGATTGAAATATCAAGCCAATATTATATTCGTAATCAGCACAAAGTGTTACCCTAGAGTCGATTTTTCTTTGAAAGAACCTGTGTTGTTATGTGAGTTCTGAAAAATCTAACTATGGTAATTTTTCTCGACTTTGAGATCAATTTTGGCCAGGAGAAGGGAGCGGAAGTTGATAAAATTGAAAACCTAGTGGTCAGTGTTTGCTCTACTATTCAGTCTATAGAACAGCTGAAGTCCCGTTGTTTTCACCATTAGCGAGACAATGGATTGAGGATTCGAAATCATATATTGGTGTTATATTTTCATTTTGTGTAAATATGAACATTACATTACAACCATAACATAAGTCGTTTATGATATTAAACTATTTTATAACGATTTATAATTATCAGTTTTTTCATCAAAGATGGTCGAAAAGCTTGTCAGCGTTGTCCTAGCGGGCGAAAATGTGAAAACTTTCTTCCTAAATGTGCACATAGCCTAATGAACATAGTGAAGCGTTGCTGTTTAAAGAAGAAATATTCTCACTCAAACGTATAACAAATAGCTGATGTTTAGAACAAGGTTCAAATGTTCCATGAGTTTAGAGAATGAAAAAATTCGATTCTCATCGTACGTCCCTTAAGAATATTTGTCACTGTCTGTCCAGGTAGGGAAGGGGTAACAGAAAGTGCAAAACCAGCCATTTTGCCCCCTGAAACCCCTTTAATCCTAAAACTTCGTTTCTCCTTCTGTCGAAGAAAAGCCTTAAAAGTTTTCACAGAACCAGAAAGATAACTTTGATCCATCAAACGTCGAGCTACAGATTGGTCGCAATTTTTTGGAATTGAAGTTTTTCAGATGTCACTCTTGAAATTCTTGTTTCTGTCGAATTTGAGCTCGAAAATTATCATTTAAAAAAATGAGTGACTAAATGTTATCCAAAAAATTATCATAAAATAGACCAAAATCGTTTTGTTATCCACTTTTCCATTAAAGACGGCATCCTAAACAAGGTAGGAAAAATAAAGTATTAATTCGGTCATTGAGTAAAGATTGTTTAGTCATTAGTGTAGTTTGCCAGTAATGAAGAGAAGTATTAAGGAAAAACTTTGCCGTATTTATCACATTAACTACGTGACAGTACATCTGGCAATCTTCTGATTGGTTAGTTTACCCAAATTATTTTTGAGAATCGCTCCTCTATTTCCAAAGAGTAACAATCGACTAATTGTTTGAAGAAAAAACTGTAGTTTGCAACTAGACCATACAATAAGTGCTTGATTTGATCCTTTGAACACTTCCAAAATGGTCCCTCTCATTGGACAAAAAATCACAATGTTCGTAAATCAAAACTGTTAGGTATTCTACGGGCGTGAATGTTGGATTTATCGATAAAGTTAGAGCGAAACTAAAACGCAAGTAAAGAACTAAATCCCTCATTTCTTCATCTGAAAACCTTTAAACTTTCTTTAACACTGTATGAAGTGAGACATGTCGTGAAGTTCGTAGCTTGATTATACTTCTTATTTTTACGGTTAAATCGATCTAAGTTATTTGCGAAATATGTCTCTATTTTTTTATTTGAGTTGTTATTTAGGTGGTTTTACAGACTCTTAAAGCCTCACTTTAGATCGCAGACATTTTGCAGAAATCTTCAACGAACAATATGAGAACGCAGTTGCTCAAAAGAGTCGAAGAATAAGCGTTAGAGCGACTCTTAGAAGCGAGTATAAGCACTTTTTTCAACTAAGGAACATACATTGACCACAACTTATTGTTATCATCAAGGTTTACAGTATAAAATCTATTTGTTTGTAATGGAACAAGAATATTTTCACGATAATAGTCCTTTCTTAATTTTTCAATAAGTAGGTAATGGTGATAATTTCGAGCTCACAATACAGTAGAACGAGAAAGTAATTGCATAGTTTGAGGTATGCAGCGGTTATCTCTGTTTTACCTGTTTGTTAATAAAAACTTTCTCTTTCTCTGTACATTTATAGATTAAACAATATGGGTGATTATGTTATTCATCGTAATCAGTTATACCGTCCACAATTAACGTCCATTCTACATTCATGTTATGAATCTCAAAGTCAACGTTTAGCTGTATTACGCAATGATTTTTCAATAGAAATATGGAATGTACATGATTATTTTACATTAGAACGGACTATTCCAGCAAAGAATTCAAGTTCAATTGAAGTACTATCATGGTTTAATTCATATTTATTATCAGCTGGTCTCGATGGACAATTAATTTTATACGATCACTTAACATATCGTCAATTAAAAGTAACAAATACCATAGGTGAGAGAAAGTGAAATGAATGGTCATTTTACTCCGTGAAGAATGTATCGGAGAAATAGGTGAATTTCTATATCTATTTTGGAAAATAAATCTTTTCTGTACTACATCTCTCCAACAACTCGACCTGGATACTTCATATAATACTGCTCTAAGAAAACTAATCGATGTGTTTGGAAGCAGCTGTTGACTAGAAATGTTTTTTAAACTGTTAGTTTATTGTACAATTATATCTGATGAGATCCTGCCGTTATAATAATCTCTACTATATCGTTGTTTGCTCAAATTTTAGCGAAAGCTGACTCCGCTAAGAATTACAAAATATATTGGATAGGTTCTCCGTGTTGGAAAGTTCTCTACGTGTAATCACCGAAGTACGATCTTTTTTCTGTTAATTGTAGGTGGTTCAATCTGGTGTATAAATAAACAGCGTAAAAAGGAGAAACACGACCGGATAGCTATTGGTACAGAGTTAGGTTATGTATCTATTTATGAAATTAGCGGTCTTGATGATAAGAATGAGTTAGACATCAAATTGGTTAAAACTGTTTGTAAGCAAGAACAACGTATATTATCATTAGCATGGCATTCAACTGACGATGATTTCTTGGTTGCTGGCAGTCTAAATATGATTTATATCTGTAGTATTAAGCAGGGTCGGTGTATCCAACAAATTAATGTGGGAAAAATTACGACATCCGTTCGTCGACAACAAAATAAAAATGTTTCGTATAAACAACATCAACAAGACACAATTATCTGGTGTCTACAAATAGCTGAAGATTACACTGTGTTTAGTGGCGATTCATCGGGACGAACATGTGTATGGGATGCAGTTTATGGAACTTTGATACGGTGAGAATAGTTGCTTAAATTTTGAATTTAAAAAACCTAACGTAATGCATAATGTTTACCTCTTTTATCCTTATTCTAGATCGTTTCAAACTCATCGTGCTGACGTTTTATGTATGACACTATCAGATAATGATCAAATTTTGTTTTGTTCAGGTATTGAACCTGTTATTGCTCGTATTGAACTAGTTAACAAATCCACAATGATGACTACTCCAGAGACGAATGGAACTCTGCAACATGTCAACCGTTTAAACAAACAATGGATAAAAACAATGTCTTTAAATTGCCATTCGCATGATGTCCGTTCATTGACACTAATCCAACATCAAGCACAAACGGAAAAATATTTTCTTGTGTCTGGTGGTCTTGATTGTCGTTTATTAGTTCATGAAATAAAACAGGATAATTCGAAACCTCCTCAGTTAGTAAAAAAATGCTATAATTTTGTACAACAACAGTTGATTCATCGTGATGGAAATTTATTTTTATTCCAATATTCAGATTATGTTGAATTATGGACAATGGGCAATACAGTAACAAAGATAGACAGCAAACAAGAACAACAACATAAGAGTGGTGACTGTCTCCCATTAACACAGTTACCACAGCATCTGGTACAAATAAAAACAAAACATTCAGGAAAACTATACTCGTCAAATCTAGCACAAATTGAACATCAATCGATTGTGGCTCTTTCTGATACAGCAGGTTTACATTTATATTTAGTAAAAGGTAAGTCGTATAAAGCCCAACGTATCTACTTCACTATATCATTATTTCTATGCTTAGGTGTTGATGCTGCTTTACACCAAGTAAAAGTGTCAAGTATCAAGACATATATAATTCCACCAAAATCTTCTCAATCGTCTGTTTCTAAATTATTATCATCAATTCAAAATGTTATTCAAATTCAGTTTTCACATCAAGATCAGCAACAGTTGCTTTTGTTTGTATTAACCGATCTAAATGAACTCTATTGTTTAAGTATTTCGTCATCATTTACACAACTTTCTCTAGAATGTATTATTAATTGCACAAATAATAGTGATAAATTATCAAGTGTGTTGAAATTTGAAGTATCACCCACATCTGAGTATATCTCAACATCTGATAATCATGGCTCAGTTCTTATATGGTCACGTTCATCTGGTGAATGTTTACAGCGTTTACCACTTCAACTGAATCAATGTACAGCAATGAAATTTCACCCTACAGAACCGTATTTGATATGTGCATATTCAAATCAACATTTATTCGAATATAATTTTGCACCACAAAACGGTAACTATGACTCTTCAAACGTGAATGGAAAGTTTACTAGCTAGATAAATATGTCCATGACTGATCAATTTGTGTCTCAGACAACTTGGACAGTTGTTGTTAAGCCTGAGTTTTCTGTACTTGTCTATGTGCTATTTCTTAGTTTGTGTATACTTTTAGGTGAATATACAAATTGGACGCGCAAAAGTTTGACCAGAATTCCAGTTCAATGGTATTATGATAAGAATATTATAACAAACTTATTTTATTCGAACGATGATAAAAAATTACATGTTATTGATCAAAATTATTTGACAGTATTTGATAAACAAAAAAAAATGCCATCATTGTATACGAAAATATTTAGTAAACAACATTCACAATCCTCGATACATATTTGTAAGCAATTCAAATATATTCTCTATGTAAATATGATTGATAGCTCGAAAAATGATGATGTGAAACAACTATTTATCGTGGAAATGACTCCGGCAATGATTGAACAATGTTTACCACCAGCATTAAAACGAAAAAAATTCGGTTCTTAGATGAACGTATTTAAACAAGACTTCTCTTCTTTGAGCATATTCGAAGAAAATGAGTAGTCAAATACATCAGAAAATTTGTTGTCTTGGTTTAGCACCTCAGAGAGTACTAATTGAGAAAGAGAGAAAGGAGCAAGAAAGATCTTGTCACTGTTAGTTATCCTAAAATGTGTAGGGAAAAAGATAAGATTATTTAGAATATGTTTACTTCAGAAGACTATAAACTGCCATAAAAAATATTTTAGCATTACAATTTTTCTCTTGCCACTTTCTCCAATTCAATGAGTGCACTGATGAAAGAACTGATGAAACAATCTGTTAAAAGTTGTTTAGTTGTTTTTTCTACGAAGTTATTTTCTTTTTTTGTTTTCGCTGGCCGGTGCTTGTTTACTTTTAGGCAATTATTTCTGTGATTGTGTTTTTTCTCGTATTTGATAATTACTTTTACGTATCTGGTTGACCACGTACATTTTTATTCTCGTTTAGAAGGGATTAAATTTAAAAACATCAGATATATTTGGACTCTCTGCATTGTGTCTACTGTGTAGTTATCAGCATGACTAATATGTATAATCTCCAATCATCATTTATATTAGGAAATATAAATCCTTCAATTGAATTTGTATTTTGTATTACTTTGATATTTTTCTTCATCAATGATTTAGAAGAAGAAAAGTGGATAACAAATATAGAAATGTAGAAATCAAAAACGCAAAAGATGACTTTTACTCTTTCTCTTTCATATGCAGCATTTTGTGTCTCACTTTTTGTTTTTTGATCATGGGAAACTCACAAGTGGCTAAAGTAGTAACAGATAGTAGTGATAAATTACAAGCTGTAGCTGTTTTACACGATCAACAAAACGGCGTTCAAGGTTATGTTGACTTTTCTCAAAGCGCCGATGGTACTGTCACTATCAGTGGTGAAATAAAAGGTATAGAATATGGTAGTGCATGATAACAAGTTTAATATACATTTGGTTCGCTATTTCAGGTATACCAGATAAAAGTAAACGCGGATTTCACATTCATGAATTCGGTGATACAACAAATGGATGCACTTCAGCTGGTCAGTGATTATTAGACTCTTGTTAAACTGAACAAATTAAAAAAAATTGGTTTATTTTTGTTCATTTTTAGGAGCACATTTTAATCCCGATAAAAATGATCATGCTGGACCACAAGATAAGTTACGTCATGTGGGTGATTTGGGTAATATTGAAGGTGGTAGTGGAAATGTGGCTAAATTTTCTTTTAAAGATTCTATCATTAAATTAAATGGATCAAATTCAATTGTTGGAAGGTGTGTGGTCTTGCACGAAAAAGAAGATGATCTTGGAAAGGGTGGCAATAGTGAAAGTTTGAAAACAGGAAACGCTGGTGGTCGTGTAGCATGCGGAGTTATTGGTGTAAAAAAATGATCATAAAAATAAAATTATTTTTTTTATTTAGTTTTAGATCTGAAAGTGAAAGAGATAGTTTCCTCTCCGTTTTTTTATATTCAAGCAGTGTGACTGTTTTTTTTTATTAATATATAGGCTTTTTTATATTCACGCAGTGTGACTGTTTGTTTTTTATATAAAAGTAATTTCATCCAAAAATGATGACTGCATTCTGAATGAAAGAAGATTTAAAAATGATGTAAAATGTGTATGCTTCTTTTTATTTTGCACACACCCATTCGCAATTTCTCATATAGAACCATGTTGATTAAGAATATTTGAATATCAGTTTTAAATTTATCACTCTTCGTTTAAGATTCTTTTTGTACAATTTATAGCTATGCCAAAGAGCCCTTTTATATCTATCGTCAATTATTTTTGTATTTATTAGAAAATTAAAAATAATGCCCCTTAAATTTGCGGTTGTTTGTTCATCAAATCAAAATCGAAGTATGGAAGCACATAATTTTATGAGGTTTGTTATTTTTATAAAGTGAGATCTACACAATGAAAATATTCTTTTTTTTTTGGTTTTTCTTCTAGTAAACGTGGTTTAATAATCAAATCGTTTGGATCTGGTGCACAAGTCAAATTACCGGGTCCATCTCTGGATAAACCAAATATTTATACATTCGATACACCTTATGAACATATGTACAAAGATTTAATTGCAAAAGATCAAAATTTGTATACACAAAATGGTGTGTTACATATGCTCGATCGAAATCGACGTATCAAAGAGAAACCCGAACGTTTTCAAGATTGTCGTGATCGTTTTGATATTGTGTTTACAGTTGAAGAAAGAATATTTGATCAAGTTCTTGAAGGTAGACGTAACGCTAACATTTTCTTTTTTTGTCTTGTAAGATATTTGTTACATTTATGTTTAATATGAAATTTCTGTTAATTACGTTGATTTTTTGTTGTTTGACATTGATTCGTGTGGAGAATATGATATTTTCAAAATCGTTCTCGTAAAGTAAACAACACCAATAAATTAACAAATTTAAGTCATTGTTAGTTTCATTTTTGCTCATTGTCTGAACATACAATTATTTTTCGAAGTTGATGCAAGTTGTTCTATACAAATAAATTGAACTATTCAAAAAATTAAAAACAATTTATAGTTGTCAAATATCGAACTGTCGAGCGAGTATTTTGATTAAAGTGTTTTCAATTGATCTTATTCGTGTAATTTATGTTAGTTTCGTCAACACGTTTGTTTTTTATTTAGATTTGGACAGTCGGGAAAAGAAAACAAATGAATTAGTTCATATAATTAATATTGATGTTGCGGATAATCCTGAAGATGCCACGCTAGGAGCATTTATGCTCTGTGATTTGGGTCAACGAGTATGTCAACAAATCTCTATTTAGATTTTGTATTACTGATTTATATTAAATTTTTAGATGGAGGCTGTTGATGATTTAGATAATGAAATTGATGAAATATTAACTGAATATGAGTCAAAAATAAAACGTCCAATATTACATGCTGTTTCATTTTATTAAAAAAAAACAACAATAGTACCGATGTATGGATGGTTCTATTTTCTTTTTTTTTCTTCTCACTGTTTATTTATTGTGTTAAACGCTCAATAGTTTCATTTTATCTCTTTGTATTATTAAACATTTTCTTTTGTGAACGTTTATTTTTTTCTTGTTATTCGATGTTCTATGAGAAAAACTGTTTTTGAATTTCTGAGATAATTTTCTAACTGTATTTTTCTAATTAACTCTAAAAAAGAAATAATATGGTATTTAAGTTTTGATTAATTTAATGTTTAATATTTTTATGCTTAGACACGCTTCAAAGTTGTCCTTATTTATCAATGAAAACTTACGTATTTATTATTATTTCGATTTTAGATGGACCAAGACACCCAAATTCCTTCACATATTGTTCAAACAGGTTCGTAATTAATACCATTGAATTGATTTTATTTCGATTTGAATGTTAAAAATGAGAAAACGTAGAAGAAACAAAATATTATTCGCTGACATTAGAGAGCTGTCACTAAGAAATAGTAGAGAATGTACAGAGAGAAAGAGAAAAGATGAGATAAGGAAAGAAAGTAGTGTCGTTTTGGCAAATGCACTTATATACAGAATATAAAGTTGAGTCATAAAACATTTTGTAAAAACGAACGAGTTTTTGATAAAGTCTCTGTTTTTCGAGACAACTATGTTTTAGTGGAATTTATACATCTTTTAAGTCACAGTTGATAATCAGTTATTTTGCTTCAGAACAAGATTCTTAATTTAAGAATAAGTTCACTGTTGCTCAATTAAATATTCATGTTGTTGCTCATTGAACTTTCAGTGATTTTTTTTTTGCATTTTAGAAGAAGTATCTGATCAAACAATGACTGATGATACACAGCAAGCAAGTATGTTTTCTTCAGAGGAAACTTTTTAAAACTTAACTTTTTAACTTCTTTAAATCGAGCGATAATGAATACAATTCAATCGCACATGAAATGATTATCGATAACCACGGCACTGATCTTTTGAATGTTATAGATGATGGAAATAGTTTTTTTGATGATTCAAAAATGGATGTGACATCGAAAGGAGGAGGAGGTGGCACTCAAACAAATCTTGTCGATATTGATCCGTCATTACAAGCTGTTGTTGCTTCATTAACGGAATCGGAAATGGCTGGATTTATTGAGGAATTAAACAAAACAGGAAAAGCATGTGAGTTCATTAATCCATTCTATAGGACTGTTTATTGATTATTACGAACATAGAATCGTCGTATTCCTCTTATATTTTAATGATAATTTCCCATTTAATTTTAGATCTTCCAAATCTTGGCCAAACAATTGAATTGTTAACAGTTGATAATCCGACTAATATCGTTCCAATATCAGTACCAGTACCTCCCACTCAAACGAATGTAATACCTTCTGGTGTAACAAATTCAAAGATAACCGTCGGACAACAATCAGCTGAATCCCTGTTGGATGATTTAACATCGTTAATTCAATCATCGCCAACAGGAAATTTAGAATCATTATTGACGAACTCAACATCGATTCAAAATCCGAATAATGCAACAAATTCACGTATTCAATTAACAAATGTTCGTTCACAACCGACAACTTATATGCCACAGCAACAACAACAACAACAACAACAACAACGATATACAACAACAACGTTTTATAACACGAGTATGGGTACTACACAAACGGGACGACAACCAGTAGTCGCTTCGACTTATGGCGGAACACCTGTTGTTAACAATAATCGACCGGGTACAGCATTAAAATCAACGATTGCAGGAAGTGGTATGCGTAAAGCTCAACAGCAACAAGATGAAAATCGACAAACGTCTACTGGTGCTGCTGGTGAACGATTATTTTTTGGACGCGCAGGTGGTCAACCATCATCCATTGGAACACAGTCCTATCAAAATAGAACAGGTTTAGTTACACAAGGATCATCAATACCACCTATTCGACGATCAACAATGGCTACGGAACAACGTCGCCCAGTCTCATGGTTTCCGTAAGTGTACTTAGCTTCATAATTGAATGTGATTTTGTGAGAGTATTGAGGAAAAGATGAAGTGAGAAACTAATTGTTCTCTTCTTTCAGTTCTCGTATTCGTCGTCATTCAGATGATGATAATGATGATGATTCACCGAATGAATCGTATGGTCCTACTCGTCGTTCCGCACGTATTCCAAAACCAAAACAAGATGCTGATTTTGTGACATTTCCATTGCTTGATCGTGAAGAGCAAGAACGTGAACAAAGTTTAAATTCTATTAATTCTCAAATGAGGGGAGTTATGGTCGGTGAAAATGATGTTATCGATGATGACACTACTTACCGTACTTCAACAACTCTCAGTGAAAATAATAATCGAGCAAACACCACGCGTCGTCCAAGAACGGTGGCTGAATTACGTAGTAGTACGTCAGCAGCGGCTAATAAACAGCGTGATCCAATCGATAAACAACGTTGGCTTGATGACGAACTATTTCATATCAAATCGTATGTGCCGTTAATAATGCCACAACAGATAACATCACCACAAACAATGAAAAACAAGGCGACTATGTGTAAACCAATTGTCAGTGAAAAAGAAGTACAATGTAAATCATTGAAAAATTCAATGGGAACACAAACTGGTAAGCGAGCTAGAAGGCTGGCTACAATGAATAAAAAAAGTACATTCCAAATTGGGTACAAAATTTCTGAAATGACATTCTGTAATAAGAGGAAATTTTTCGTTTTTTGATAGAATAACAATCTAACAATCTCTTTTAGTGCTTTTTCTCTCTTGACTGAATATCCCTCGGGTGGATTAGTGAGCTGATTGATGACAAATTTAAGCTCGGTAATATCTCCGAAGTACAAGGAAATTACTATCTAGTGCAAAATTTAGAAAGTCAAGTGCGTAAAATCACTGTTAGAGAGTGATGTAATACTTAGACGAGAGATATTTAGATTTTTGAATTTCCATCTCATATAGAGCATAGAAAACGATAGCGATAATGGGATGACTGTCGATTAACTGGCTGATCTGTTAGCTTTCCTTATTTGAATTGTGTGCTATACAGTGTGATAGTTAGTGATTGATTACATTCTTAAAAAATACCTACTTGTATTATTTATGTTATACAATGTATACAGTACAATGCTAAGTAGTACGCACTTATTTTGAGAAAAACAGCATCATTTTTAAAACCATGGTCATTTTGCGGGATTCATTATAAGATAACTGTATTTAAAACAGATAAAAATGTAACGTCAGATCGTCCATTTATAGCTTTTGAACAATCTAATCACATTTTCACCAAATCTGTCCGATCTAGAACGAACGAGGACAAGTGATTGATTTGAGGAAGAATATGCAATGAGGCACAGGAATGAGTTTTTTTATAGCGGAAAAACGATTTTGTCGTTTCATTCGGTGAACTAAAAAGTCGATAAAATAAAACGGTAATTGAACTCCAGTTGTTGGCATTTTCTCATTTTCTATTTAGAATCTCAGTATTTAATTGCTGATATACCACTTGTGATCTTGCCCGTTCCGATCTACATGCCGTCGCCTATACCCACGTATCGTTTATTCAAACCAACTGCTATTCCAATTCCTGTTCCGGTACCTGTGCCAGTTCTTATACCAATAACAGAAAAGGCATTTAAAAATATTCACGATTATATTCAGGTACATTTTTCAATAATTATTTATTTCTCCTCCATTATATATCACAATCTTACTTCGTTTTAGTCACAGCGTGATTTGTTACCTGATGATCCGTATGAGGCGGCTCTTATATTACATGCTGAAAGTTTAGTACGTGCTGAAAGTCAAACAACGACAACAATAACAAGTCAAAATGAAAATCATAACATGTCGACAACTAATGATGATATAATGGACATAAATAATGGACATCATCGATCTGGTAAGATTGAAGAAAAATATGATCTGTTCATACTACTTATGTATAATCCTTTTAGATTCATTTATCAGTTCAAACATTCCAGTTGTAGAAAAATTGCCTGAACTTGATTTGGAAGCCCATTATATCGGTAGGCATAAATTATCTCGTGTTGATTGAACTTTATTGTTTTATTTTGTTCTACATTTTAGATCCGCAAACATCATCTAATCCAGAAGTACAAAAAGTAAGTACGATGCTATGAATATTAATACATAACTTACAAAAGCCTGTTGATTAATGATTGATTTTTTTTTTACGAAAAAGAGAAAAGAGATAAATTTTAGTGTTACTATCATTACATCTGAGCATTAAGTCGCATCCATGTTATTCACTCTTGAAGAGTAGGATATTGCATTTGTAGCAGTTTTTATATATTTATTCATTCACAGCTGCTTCATATGTTACCTGATGCTGGTTATCGACTAAAATGGACATATGGTATTGAAGCATTTTCTCAATGGTGTATGCAAAAGAACAATTCGGTTCTTTATCGGACTGGAGAAGGTTTGTGTCTTCTCTCCTTATAGCATACAGCTTAAGTATTCTTTTTTCCTATATTATTTTTAGAAACTGACAAATATAGTCAATTTTATAAACAAGATATTCTCAGTTATCATGGCGATGAACTCAACAAAGCATTGGAACTCTTCGTACAAGAAGTTCGTAGACCAAATGGTGAAGAATACCTGCCTGAGAGTATTTACTATCTTTGTCTAGGTATGTATGAAATAGGAATGGTATAGATTAAAAAAAATGACGTGTGGATGTGACATCTATGTCCTAGTTTCTCCATCTCCCAAATCTTCTATCTTCTATCTCAGATAAATCCGTTTAAATACAATAAGTTCAATGTTCTGACCAATCTTTTGAGTATTTTAAAAGGTTTTTCTTTAGATTTTCTAACAATGCTGTAATGTATGAGTTTATTTATATACTTTTAGGTATTCAATTTTTTTTAAATATGAATGGTCGACAAACAGATATTTTTGATCCACGATATAGTGAATTTAATTCGGCATTAGATGTAATTTTACAACGTTATATACCACGTAAACAAGCAGCTAGTAAGTTAACTAATTTTCTTGTTACAGATACATGATATTAGCCTTTTATTTCCGTTATTAGCAAATACAATGGTCTCAATAATTGATGAAGATATTTTATACGATTGTCAACAATTAGGTACAATGAAACCATGGCCATTGTTAATAACATTATTATTACAAAATAGTAAACATTTCAATTTAAAAACTGTTGAATCTCATATTGCAATATCGTTTGCTAATTTTGGAAAATATGCACAATGGATTCGAACACCGAATAATCAAAGTCAACATATGAATTATTTAAGATTTTATGCACATAATGCCGGTAGTTATAAATGAAAAGATTTTTTTTATTATTATTAATCTGTTGAAGTGATATTTAGCCCGACATTCATATCACTTAAATTCGAAATACTAAGTTAGTTAAATTATTGTTTTCTGTTTAGATTTAAAAGCACTGATTAATGCGCCGATTGTTTATGAAATAACCGAGTACGCTGATGATCCAGGACGTTGTCCTATAAAAGTTTATGATTATTATGTATCAAAATGGTATTATTTAGTCTCTTACTTTGTTCTCTAGTTTATTATCTATTTTACTTTGTTTAGTCCGGAAACCATTCGACAGAGTGCTGATCTTTTTTATCTTCGTCCAATTAGTGGTCAACAACTATCTGATAGTTCATTATGGTTTACAAATGAACCATTATCACCCTCAATAATTGGTCAAATTTTAAATCGTCTTCGATTAATATCCGACTTTTATTTACAAACAACACCAGTTGATATAGCAAATAATAATACAAATTAAACTAAATCAAATGTATATATATTTTTTGTTTCACTTTCTATGTAATGCTCGTTTATCAAGAGCAACAAGTTTATATTATTAACATTATACAAGTTGTATAGATTTTTTTTTTAAAAAAAAAATTCTTCTCATTTTTCTGGCATGTGTATTAAAAGAAAAATTTATGTACGTCTTAATTGTTGTATTCGAAACCATGTATAAAATTATCTTTGCTTTATTTGTTTGTTATATTTGTAGAGTTCTTTCATGACTTTTTTTTGTTTTTTATCATAAATACACGTTACTGTTTAGATAAAAGCTAAACTTAGTGTTTAAAGATAGAGAATCAATGTTTCTAATTACATTATGTTATCATGAAAATTTCTTACTCATTGAATCAAGAAATTGATTAAATCTTTTTATGACTTGAAAAAGAAAAGCATTCGTTTTTTTTTTTGAGAAATTATTTGCTCAAAATCGATTTATACACAATATTTCTAAAATTTATTTAAGCTAGCGGACGATTACTAATAACTCCTGTCGACTGTGTTCTTTGTTGTTCTAGTACTTGTTGATTAAACGTCACATTAGAGTTTATATTTTCATTAATTTGTCGAAAGTTATTGCCATTTATATTTTGATGCATTCGTTCACTATTTGTTGGTGTTTCAGTTCTCATGTTTTGATTCTTAATCCAAATTAAGTTCGATTGGTTTTTTTCTTGTGGATAAACTGACAAAGATGGTTGCCTTGTCTCCATTTGAATTGTTTGTTTTAATGCTGCTGGAAACGTGTTATGTTTTTGTTGATATTGCTGCTCGGAAATAAAACCATCTTTTGGACTATTATAAATAGTACTGTCCGATGAATAATTCATAGGTTTTACTTGATGACAATGACTGAATTGTGCCATAAAAGGTTTAGTATTTTGTTGTAGATGACAGAAATTATTTGAATTTGTGTGACATTCCATTGATTGATAGAATGTTGTAGACGAAACATAATTATTATCGTTTGTTGCTGTTGTTTTTTCTTTTCTAATACAATTAGGAATCTCTAACTCAGATATTAACGCTGGTACACGATTCTCATAAGAAGAATTGCTTTGATAGACAGGTGAGAAATTATGCTGAAAACAAGAGAATGAAACCAATGTAATAACTGAATAATAGTTAAAATTTTGACTAATGCATATTAAGCAAAAGATTTTTTGAAATCAAATAGGCTTAGAAAGTAGTGGGCGAACCCAGACTTGCCGCTTATAGGACCTATTTAAGAATGGCAGAATGGAACTCTTACTACATCATTTCCATCAGAGCACGGTCGACCGAGTTGTTGTTGTATCAATGGATATTCAGGCCATAAATTGGATTGATTTTGATTCATTGTCAGTTTTAGAGTCACATCTGGTTCAGAAGTCAAATTGCTTTGATACATGCAATCATAAACAGCATTATTATTATGAATTGACGGTACTTCTTGTTGACGTTCTATACTCGAATTTGATGTTTGTTCTAGTTGCTGTACTTTCGCTTGGCTTCGTCGTTTAATATTTATATCACTATATTCATTGTTTTCTTTTTCATCATCGTGTGTAACACGTTTTTTGGTATTAAAATCTTGTTGTTGTTGTTGATATTGATCGGACGTTAATGACGTTTGACATGAGATGTTCTCTATTGATTGAACTGACTTTGTTTTATTTTCTACTATTTGAACATCCGATCTTATACTTGGCGGTATGCGATGATGTTCAACCGTTGTTAATGAGCCACCAGCAACGATGTACGATGAAAGTTGTTCAGATTCAACTTTTTCTACTCCCTCACTATACCATGTTGGATAAGCTGTGTATGGATAACATAAATAAACAGCTGGTTGAATGAATGAAGCTGTTGGAGTTGTGATGCCTAAATTCGTTGTTTGCATATCACCAGTTTGAGGTGTAACAACTACATGTTTTGACGAAATATTAGTGTTCGCCAATGATTTTACTTTTCTGTGTTTTTCTTCCAAAGAAGATGAAACATCTATAATTAAATAGTGATCTGTTTAATGAGCACACCTGTCTCGTTTGATGAATTCTTATCCTCAACATACGGGATTAATTACTTACCTTTTGATATATTAGTAATATGTTTGAATGATGACTTTGTTGGTAGTTTCGTTGATTTTATTGGTTCTGTTTTTATACTAACTTCTTCAACAATTGGCTCATCATCTTTATACTCTTCGGTTACTGATAATATTTTTTCTTCTAAATTATCTCCTGCATCAGCAGTTGTATTAGTCATTTTTTTATTTTGTTCTCTCAACACGTTCAACTGTTCGTAGGCTAAATTGAGTAAATCTAACACTTGCTGCGATTGATCAAAGAAATGAAAGAGTTTTGAATAATCTTCTACCGCTTTTTCATACTGACTAATAATCATCCAACATGCAGCTCGAATAACATATGCCAATTTATTCCATTGATTAAACGCAATTGCGTGAGTACAATCTTCAATCGCTTCATAACATTTTTGTTCTAATAGTAACGTTGTTGCTCTACTGGATAACACATCCGATTTCAATTCGATATCTTGTGTATCATGATAGAGTTTCGTGTACAATCGATAAGATAATTCGAAGTCACCATTTTTTGCAGCGGTCATAGCTTGTTGACGTTGTTTTTCATGTTGTTCGCTAGGAAATAGTTGCTTTGCAACACCATTCAGCATTTTAGTAGTATCTGATTTTGTCAATTGAACAAGACGAGAGCACGCTAATGATGATATACGCGGTTGACGGTGACGCATATAGTTTGTTTGTGTCGGTGGAACATTGCTGACTGAAAAGCAAAGAAGTTCAGGTTTCTAGAGTTGTATAATGATTTCATGTATGTTAAAAATTACTAGTTGGAAACGTAGCTGTTTTCGTTGGTAATGATTGTGATCGATGCTGCTGTTGTGTATGTATTTTTTCTAGTGCTGATTGCAACTGTTGATTAATGAAGACGTCAATATTCGTTAATGATAGTGAAGATGGATGAGTACAACATGCTGTTGTAGAATTTGAAGTTGATTGAATTATTTGAGTTGTTGTTTCTGCATTTGGTAGAGACGATAATAACTGAAACACCTATAATTTTTTTCTTTTAATAGGGATAGTTTTGAGTACAAACAATAGAGCTTTAACAGCAGCGAATAAACTCAAAATAAAATTGGAATGAGTTTATTCGCTGTTGTTAAAGCTCTGCTATTTGTACTGAAACACCTGTTGCTGTTGTTGTTGGTATTCAAGTTCTTGAATTGGCGACGTCGGCTGATAAGTGTTCGCAGTATCAGCAGTTATTGTTGTAGTGGCTGTAGTAGTAGCTGCGATTAGTGGTTGTTGTTGAGAATTAATAACTGATTGTTCAACAGTTGTTGAATCAAGATAAGATGTTGCTTGAAAATTATCAACAATTGCCATTTGTTGGTCAGTTGACATTTGACTATCGCTGATTAATTTTCTTTCAGTCAAATTCTAAAATTATATATATAAATATAAATATGCACTTGCTGAACTGAACATTTGCTCATTTATGAAAGGTGGAATTCAAGGTGTCAACTTTTAACTAGCTCAACAAGCTCAATTAATAAGTTTTTTGCAAACAGGGTCTCTGACCTATGGCTCTTAAAATTTTACAGTGTCACTATATAAGTAGAAAAGATATTGTAAAAATATACAGATATGTAGGGTCTAGAAAATAGTTTATACAGGTGAATGATCTAATATTAAATATTAATGTAAATTATTCGTGAAATTCAAAAATCACTTGTTCAAATGAGGCTCTGATGAATATTTCAAATTGTTCATCTTGTCAGAGAGTATAGCAATCAATTCGTCCTACAGTATAAGATGGGTTTTATCTTTTGCGGATAATGATGTTTCTCCAGTGCTAAATGGTATTATTATTATTATTAAATCTTTCTCATTATTCAGACAAATAACTAGAAATGCATACTTTTTGAATATTTTTATCTTTCCCCGGTTGACTTATTGACGAATGTTGTTTATCACCATTGTCGTATTTACTACTATGATATTTTCGGTCACGATGCCCACGGTATTTATTATTATCGATTGAATTTTTTGAATAATTATCATCTCGATATTTTTTTTTGTTATCTGAAGAATTGCAATGTGATGAGAAATGATCGGGATATTTTCCATTTGAGGATGATGAATTCGTATGCTTTTTATTTCGTTGTGTTATTGACTCTATTGAATCGTCGTCATAACGCCGTTTTTGTTCGAATGATTTTGGTATCATGTGTGAAACAGATTTTTTATGCGATTTACTTGTTCGCTGATGAGAATGATTTTTATCGCTATTACGATCAGAATAATGATGACGATGTTGATGCAGATCGCATTCATAAGAAGAACGACTACGATTGATTACATCTTTCAAACAAAATAGAAATACTGATATTAATGAAAAAGTGACAGACAATATTTTATAGTCTAAGAGGATTAAGTCAACATACTCACCCTTTGGCCATATGCTAACAAATTGTCTATCTATACCATTTCTGTTATTGAACGTAGCAATATTTTTTACTATCGCTCGGTTACAGTTTGAAGGCGATGTTGAAAGTGAGTTTGTCCACTTCTTGTTACCGATAGCCAGATCATTTGTAGCTTTTGAGTCATGAAATGTATAATTGGATGATAATGTTGAGTACTGCTGTTTATTTCTTAAGATTTTCAGTGGCATTTGTGATGTTTGTTGTTTACGATATATTTGACTATTATTATTCATTATTGATGACGTTTTCCTATAAAAATCATCGTTAATTAATGATAGTTCTTCTAAATTATCATTATTTCTAATATCATCACTTTGTTGTCTAACTATACGTTGTGAACGCTGTTTGGCCAATATTTTCGATGTTATAGTCGCTGAACGACGACGAATTGCTTTCAATTGATTCAATGATGGTTTATCTAAACTTCGTTGTTGTCTTTTTGTTTTACGACGATGTATTTCAGTCTTTTGTACAATTTCACTTATCTTTAATAACGCATCAATAATTGCCTTTTCGGTTTGATGACGTTCTGTTGATTCTAGAGGTAGTGTTGACAGTGTGTTATTTTCTTTCATATTTCGATTGAATAAGAGAAAAAATTTATTGTTTTATCAAAAAAATCTACTCGATTATAAAGATTGAAATTGATAAAAAAAAAATGTTTTCGAATTGATCAAAATTCCTCTTTACTTCGCGCCTCTTATAACTTCAATATTCAGAAGTTTAAAGAACCTCTCTCACATCACTATGAAAAATTTTTGATTGATTTGTTTTTTTATAATATGTAGAAACTCTTTGATCAACAACCGCGCCAACAAGCGAGTTTAATAATTTTAGAACACATTGAATGGTTAAAGAAAAGAATAAATTTTCTGTCATATTCATAAAGAGAAGTTCGAGTAGCTTCTAATTATACGTTAACTTTTGTTTATTTTATTTATTTAAGTAGAATTTTAAAATGATATCAGAGTTATGAACATTTCATCAGAAGATGAACAGCAAGCGTTATATTAGATAAAATTGATGATAGATACAGTGTTGGTTAAAATTATTCATACACTCTTTGCTCCATAATTGTCGGAGCCTAATTTATTAACAATTTGATCGTTTTCACATCAGACTTTTACCAGACTGTAACTAAATATCTCCAATAAGATCTGTACAAAAAAAAGCAGTTTTACATTTCAAATAAGGCCTTCGTTCTGGACGATGACTGTTTTGGATTAGGTCAAAGTATTTGTAAAGTACGTTATGTTGATCCCTGCTATAATATACACAAGAATGTTTGAAGGCGTTTTACTTCAAAGTTTGATTTTGCTATGAATAAATATTATCCAGGATACTAACGGGTGACGCATAATAAACGGGACACTTTTGTTCTTTATTTTTAAGGCACTTCCGAATGATCTAAAAATCTGGCTCTAGTCTCATTCGATAGAAAATTGAATTCTCTACAAAACCTGCTTTTTGAGTCTCTGACAGCATTTTTCTCGTTTGAGCACCACTCAAAATATTGAATAGTGCTAAATGCTCAAACTGCGACGTGCTTTCGTTATATGCTTTTTTGAGATTTTTAGCCCATTGTCTGAGGTTCAATAGTTGCTTTTCTAGGTAGAAAAATAGAGAATTTTGTGCTCTATCGGTCTCACTCATTTATAACTTCATATAATGTTTTCGCTACGTCAGCTGGACTCCTAAATAGTTCTCAACCGGCTTTTCACGCTTTTTCAAATTAAATTAATTTTATAATTAATGGTTTCAATTGAGAAACTTTGTTTATATATCAAAAGATGCAGAAATTAATTCTGTGTACGATAACAAGGCTAAAACCCTGGATTCATAACGTTTTACTGCTTTTATAACCAAAAAATAAAAATCTGTGAAAAATAGATTCAAAAGTTAGATTTTTTTAGATTTATCACCTTTTTGCAAAGAGAAATTTTCGTAGAAAACTTCATTGTAGAATTTCGAAGAATGTGTAAGAATATGCAGCATTTTCCGGTGAATCTTCTGATGTTTTCAAAATTCTTATGAAATCTGTTCTGGGATCAAGGCAAATATTTTTCTGTTTTCGGTATGTCGCAGGTCTAGAATTTAGCACTATTCAATATTTTGAGTGGTGCTCAAACAAGAAAAATGCTATCAGAGATTCAAAAAGCAGGTTCTGTAGAGAATTCAATTCTCTATCGAATGAGACTAGAACCAGATTTTTAGATCATTCGGAAGTGCCTTAAAAATAAAGAACAAAAGTGTCCCGTTTATTATGCGCTAACCTTTTACTAAAATATTTGTACGGAAAAGACGCCCCGTCATTTTTTCATGCACAAGAAAAGTTTCAGCATCTCGGTAGAAAAGTGGCAAATACTTTTACGAAAGTTTGCTTATTGTGAAAAGAAAAGATGTTTCAACATCATTTTGACATAAGTAGAACGAAAGAAAAAGGACGTTTTTAGTCTAAAGGATCAAAAGTTATTTGATATTTCTCAATATGTTAACTTTTAAAATAAATAGAATTTATTTTGTTAACATTCTCTGGACTCATATCTAGAAGATTCATCAATATTCGTAACTATTAAACTTCAGTGAGCACCTAAGTCAATCTTAGCTAAGAATTGCATCGAAACTTAAGTGAGTATCATCAAAAATCAAGTGTAATGACTTCGTTTTAGCTTGAGTATGTCTTGATGAGACGATCCTCAGTTCTTGGCGCTTCTACTAATGAACGCCGCTTACCTTCTCTCAAAGAATTAGCCGTAAAAATATGCATCATTACGATACTCTAATCTTTTCTTTGATAACATTAGTTTTGGCTGAAGTGTCTAAATATAAAACAGATTTTATTGCGAATAATTTTAATCTATCATCGGAAACTGACTTTTATTTGAAACGTGTACGCCGTATAAGTGCAGCGGAAATTCTTAGCAAGAAATATGGTCCCTTGTTGACGGCTGCCGGCTTTTTTAAAGCAGCTCAATTTTCTGATGAATATCGTTCGCGTCAACGTTGGCTTGAACAAGCATGGCATATACAGCAAATAAATTCAAAAGCGTTTCATGCTTCTCAATCTCGTGTCAATTTTCTCTATACAACAATGGAACGTTTTCAACAAATTCATGATCCACTCGTTATCCGTAATAGTCTATTGCGTCTCGATTATATTGACGTAATGATTATTGAAACACTCATTATCAAAACTCATACAGAACAAATTCAACATTTAATGCCAATTTATAATTTTATACGCGAAACACTCTGGTATTATTTTGTACCATTTAATCAGACAATTCATCTGTCTTGTTATTTTCCAAGATTTTTGAATGGTTCACTATGGAGAACAATTGATATTGGAAAATGGCTTAGTGAAACGTATGCAAATGCAATACAATTTTATACTGATGATAAGAAATTGGCAAATATATGGAGAAAAGATGGTCATATTATCGTACCATTAGCAATGTTTCATAATGGTACGATGCTTTTTTATCTAAATAATATTGTAGAAGTAACAAGAACAAAATAGTTAACCCTGGACTCCGCCCCTTCCACTTTCCCTAACGCTTGTGGATGTACGCGACCCGACAAACAATACTGAATATACATTGAATAGGCGGACAGGCTAACGCGGACTAGCTAAAGGAGAATAACGGCTATAGCATAAATCATGTCGGTCGTGGTAAATTTGCTCTAACTCCTGCTACTTAGGTTTTCTAGAACAAATTCTTGTTTTGACAGAATCGCCGTAAAATTCTCTATAAAATCATACCTAAACCTTAATTTCAGAACTTTAATCCAGAAAACTAAGCAAATTATATGCAAGTCGACAAAAATGAAAACTATAATATTGATATTTGTCTCGGCTTGAACATTTTCTTCTGCTATTATTTTCGCAAAAAAGCGTAGCAAAAGTGAAAACGCAGTTGGTGTTTGGTACTTTCAAATGTGCTCTTCTCGTGGTAAGTATGATTTTGCAGAGAATTTTACAGCGGTTCTATCAAAAAAAGAATTTGCATTAGGGGACCTAAGGAACAAGAGTTAGAGCAAAAATACCAAGACCGATATTATTAATGATACACCCGTCATATTTGCGCAGAAACAGTGTTTTAAGAAACTATTCTCAAATTCTGCGGATTCACGAAAATTTGAGCGAACAACGGTACAGTAAACGTACACACTTGGGACATAGATTTCATCCAGACCCATATTAATCCATCACGTTTGGATGGAGGATTTACACTTTAGACCCAAGGTCTGCATTGATAAGCTTTTTTACTCATAATAATATAAAAATTTTAATCAAAAACTTCTATAGTTTTGAATAACTGTTTATTGTTGATCTCATACAAATTATTTTGGCTTTTTTTAATCTTATGACATTAGATTTACAGTTTAATTGAGTTTTGAATCATGTTCTAGATTCTAGTTTCATGAATCATTTAAAATTGAAAAATGTTCATTTAAACGATTCGGGTATTTATTCGTGTGAATATACAGATTTGACAGGTGAAAAACAATTTATGGAACATAATCTCTTAGTTTATAAATTTCCTTCAATTGTATACAAAATAAATTTGACAATTTTTTGTACAAACATCACACGTCTATGGAAAATGTTTAATTCACCAATTACCGAATTAGAAGATAAATGTCTAGGTGAATGTAAAATTGATTTATATGAAAGAAACATTAATCAACAATGTGTAAATAAAACGTTATCACCAAAACATAAGAAATTTCGTTATCATTATGCCTATTCAATTAGAACATTTC